AATGAACCGCGGCCGAACGCGAGCAAAAAGTAGGCGCGAGAGACCGCGAAGTGAGAGTAGCCGTCGCGATGACGTTTCTGCCTACCTACGCCTCTTCGGCCGACTTTGCGTGCGAAGAGAGGCTCCGAAGAAAGTTCCAGTTGCCCGCGGAACTGTGACACACGATCATCCGCGAGAAGTGAGTCACTGAAGCGAGTCGTGTTCGAAACCGTGCGAAATCGCGTCGAAAACCTCGAGAAAGACCCGCTCGAAACACAAAGAAGAAATTCCGCGTCGCTTAATTACGCGAAAATTTCTTGTCGCGTCGGCGTCCGATTTCTTTGGAAAATAGCGACGATTTAAATTGCGACGGATTTCTCTTCGAGATCGAAACTAGTCTCTCTCTCTCTCTCTCTCTCTCTCTCTCTCTCCTAAAATTGATACGTTAAATCGCGACAGGATGTTACGGTGAGCCGAAACGAGATCTCTTGAAAGAGCGCGCGGAGATCGCGGATTCGCGGTGGCAGTAAAACCGAGGCGCGTGCACACGAAACGAGGGTGGAACAGGAACGGCGGAAAGATTGTGACGTCCAATTTCGACGGCTCGAAACGGATAGAAGTGACGCGATGATATTCCACTTGGTCCTTATTTGTTTCGTTATCGCTTTGACACTCGCTCGCTCGCCGAGGATCGGTTTCAAAGCTCTGATGCCCGGGAAATTGATGCTACTCGTTACTGCGACTTCGATGGCACTCGAAACAACTACGGCGCGGCTGATTTGGTACAGTGAGTAGAAAAATATCGTATCGTTATACGACGATGGAACGAGACAAACCGTCGGATAATACAGGGTGTCCCAAAAATGTCTCGCAATCCGGAAATGGCGGGTTCCTCGGATCATTTGAAGCAACTTCTTCCTTTACAAAAATGTTCTCCGAGCCACCGAGTTATTAACGAAAAACAGTGACCAATGAGAGACGAGCTCGGCTGGCGCGAGGCGACCGAGCCAATGAGCGGAACTGGGCTTCGCGCGCTGGTTGGCTGGGCCGCCTCGCGTCAGCCGTACTCGATTCTTATTGGTCACCGTTTTTCGTTAATAACTCGTTAACGGTGCCTCGGAAAAAATTTTTGTAAAGGATAAAGTTGCTTCGAATGACCTGAGGAACCCGCCACATTTTTGGGACACCCTGTATAATATATTATCATCGTCGACGATTATCGTCGCTTAGGTGTCTCGAATGGTTGATCGGCGATCTCATTGATCGAGATAATGGAGGACAAGCCGCCAAGAAAAATCAGTGGAACGGGTCAACGGGCAGGCAGATGTCTTTCACGGACATTTTCGCGAGTCTGTTGGACCAGGGCCAATCTCCGGTATGTTAGAAAGCAACAAATTATGCGAATATTGGACTAATTTTGTCGGCAGATTGCGCGGTCAGTGCAAAATGTATTTGAACAGCTTTTGGGACGGAATAACTTTTTTATTATTGGGCCAAGCGATTTCAATTTTTTTTAGAGTGCTAGTGGGTATTAGTTAATTAATATACACTGGCTGAAAATTTGTTTCAATTTATTTAAATGAAATTTTATTTAAATACGAACATTTTAATCTTACTCTAAAAGTTTTATATCCGTTTATACTGAATTTGTACAGCTTTTGAGACGGAATATCTTTTTTATAATTAGGCCAAGCGATTTCAATTTTTTTTGCAAAGTTAGAGGTATTAGTTTATTAATAGACAGATGATGAAAATTTGTTTACATTTATTAGTACGATCTTGAATGATTTTGATGTAATTACAACATTAAATTCCTACTTAAATATACGAACATTTTTATTTTATTCTATAAATTTTGTGTCCGAGTATACTGAAGTATGTAGAGTATACTGAATTCGTAGTCCCAAAATCATTGTATTTCTTGGACCTGATGGGTTCGCGAGATCATTTGAAGTAACTCTTTCCTGTACAAAAATGTTCTCCGCTGCTTCGTTTACGAGTTATTAACGAAAAACGCTGACCAATGAGAGGCGAGCTCGGCTGGCGGATGAGCGGATGAGCGGACGGAGTTCGGTTCCGCTGAGCTCGCTTCTCACTGGCCAGTGTTTATTCGTTAATAACTCGTAAACAAAGCCTCGTAGAACATTTTCGCAAAGGAGAAAGTTGCTTCGAATCACCTCGGGAATCCATTTCCCCGAGATTCCATAATTTCGTGCCACCCTGTGCACGTATCTCGTGGGCGTTCGCTTAGTGAAAGAATGGAAATTGATGGAGCAGGACCGAGATACGCGACAGTAGCTCCCACACGAAGTTTCCGTGAACTTTTCTACTTATAGCCGCATCAGACCGCCGCCTCCTTTCCGCCGGATACGACGTCTGGCTACTACCAATCGAATTATCCGGCGATACCAAGCGGAATGTTCGATCTTCCGGCGGGATTTCGGCTGGATCTTCTGGACGCCCTGTCCACGATATCCAGCCACGACCACTACAAGTGCGTGGCAAGGATACTCTGCGAAATGGCGAGCGGAAAACTTCCCGGGCGATCTTTAAGCAAACAAACCTCCTCGAATTTCTTCGACTTCCTCGGGAAAAACGCTTTCATGGAGTACGTTCTCGAAGCCCGTGGATCGAGCCCCGTGATTCGGGAACGCAAACGATTATCCGGAGCTTCGTCGATCGAGCTTATATACAGCGACCAGATCCGATCCCTCTACTTCCGGTTCCTGTTTTCAGATGGCTGACCAACGTCGACGTCGCCGGCCATTCGCCGTTCTTGAACTTCGGCAGAGCGATGGTGCTCGGTTACAGCAACAGAGGAAACTCCGTCGCCTGCTTCAGGGCATTCCCGAAGTGCCCCAAGGACCCCGGCCAGCTAATTTATTACTTGAACAATTACAACGGAGGGTTCTTCCGACTTTTCAACAGGATTCGCATTGGGAGACGCGGGGAATTCGATCGTTTACGTGAGCGGCGACGTAAGTCAGTATGGGAGAAGTAGAGAACGTTTGAATCTATTTAAATTTATCAGAGCTTTTATGATAGTAGGTGTCGGGATAAAGGAATGTATTCGATGGGTTTTAGTGGAAGCAGATTTATTAGTCCAATAATTAGGGAATAATATATATTAAGTTTGTAATTTCTCCGTAATTTAACATTTATAACATTTATTTCTAACATTTTCCCATAAATGAACAGAATTTAACCTTGACATAACCTTGACATTTTCCCATAAAGGGACAGAATTTAACCTTGACATAACCTTGACATTTTCCCATAAAGGGACAGAATTTGACCTTGACATAACCTTGACATTTTTCCATAAAGGGACAGAATTTAACCTTGACATAACCTCGACATTTTCCCATAAAGGGACTGAATTTAACCTTGACATAACCTTGACATTTTCCCATAAAGAGACAGAATTTGACCTTGACTTAACCTTGACATTTTCCCATAAAGGAACAGAATTTGGCCTTGACATAACCTTGACATTTTCCCATAAAGGGACAGAATTTGACCTTGACATAACCTTGACATTTTTCCATAAAGGGACAGAATTTAACCTTGACATAATCTCGACATTTCCCCATAAAGGGACTGAATTTGACCTTGACTTAACCTTGACATTTTCCCATAAAGGAACAGAATTTGGCCTTGACATAACCTTGACATTTTCCCATAAAGGGACAGAATTTTCCCCGTACCCTGTATTTTATACAATTTAATTAAAATTAAATTTAATTGAATCCGTTCTGCAACATTTGAAGAATGTCTATTTTTCGATCCTTAAATCCGATATTTTTATAGGTGATCATCCCGCAATTAACGCTCAAGGGAGAATCATAACTGCTTCGTGGATCGACGCCGACGCGCCGAGTGGTTTCGGAAGCGAGATTCAATTTCCCATTAACGAAGATTTCAAGAACAACAACGAGATTGTTTTCCCGGACGAAAGGTTTCCGAGAAGCGAGTTTGCAACGAATGATATTCCCGATTACGTGCCGACGTCTGAGGAGAACGTTTGGCACAGTGATCGCGTCCCGTTTTTCCCTCAGGTAACACCATGAATTATGACAAATATTTGTGCAAACAATTATCTGATTATCACGACGATTATCTGATTTTAGGTGTCGCATGGCAAAAGATATTCTCGGTTGCGATTCCCTTGAATCGTCGCAACAAAAACGTAAGAAAATAAGAGATTCGATTTTAGTCACTGTCGCGAACCACCCCAAAGCTGTTAATATTTAATAGATTAACTATATTTATACAGATTTATTTTTATAGACTTCTCCACGCAGTCTACGATGATATTTATGATCCGTCCGCGAATTTATGCAAAATAGAAATCGCAGAGAAATAGAAGCCAATTGAATTGGCAAATAGAAGCCAATAATCTAACTATTAATTGGCTTCAATTGAATAATAGAAGATTAATATATTAATATATTAATTATTAATAATAATTAATAGATATTATTATTATATTATTATATTATATATATATAATATAATATTATATTATTATATTATATTAATATATATTATTATTAATAATAATTAATAATCAATATATTAATATATTAATCTTCTATTTGTGGCGTCGCATCCCTCGCACGGGACTTTCCCAACTTTCTCCTTTCCTACGAAGATCCATCTATTCCTTTCTTCTCTTTCACTATAAAAGAGACAAACGCGCAATTCCAAAAGCTCAGTCTGTCCTAAGTTGCTAGTCCTACGACACCACGCTAGTCGCGCCCGCGCTCATCGATTGCAATTCAATAAACTGCATTAATAGTAACCTTAAACACGATCTCCGATTCGCTAACCTTCCCTTCAGTGCTAAATATTATTCAATAGAAGCCAATTAATAGTTACGTTCTTTCCTTGAAAGATCGAAAATCGATTTAGAGATTGACATCAATTAAACACATAAAATCCGCGGTCTATAATTCCCAAAAACCGAAAACAGAATTCCAAGTAATTTCTTACGGTGTTTCTTTAAATCGTAACTCCAAATACCGTGCTATAATAATCGTACAATCCTACAATAGTAATCGTACTCCTAAAAGTTTCCATTGGAACTCTCTTTTTTCTGACGCGTTGATCGATGATTCCTGAAACCTTGCGAAATCTCTAATAAGTTCAACCATTATAATATTATTATAATTAATAAAAAACCAATTAATATCATTATATTATATTATGTAATATAATTATAATATTGGTTATATAATACGATTCAACCAAGAAGCGTGTTACCATTGCAACCCATTAATCGTAAAAAATACCAGAATCCAGCAATTTTTCCTAATTCGATAGCTTAGTGGCGTTAAATTATTATAATATTATCATAATTAATAAAAAATCAATTAATATCATTATATTATATTATGTAATATAATTATAATATTGGTTATATAATACGATTCGGGCAAGAAACGTGTCAAAAAATGTCACATGAACATTTTCACTTTGTGCCTAATTCGATAGCTCAATGTCGTTAAAACCTAGACGCGATTCTCACGAATCTATCGAAGTTCCTCGTTTATCGCAATCTCATGTGATATCTCACGCACAGGAACGACAGCATTTCGTGTGGCGAGGCAATTTGCAATTCCATAAAACTTGTCGAATCATCGATCCCGAGTTAACGCGCGAACCGGCGAGCAAAGATTAAACGCGCGTGGAACGCGTTCGTGTCCGCGACGCGCGTCTTTTCGCAGCGAGGCGTCGTTTATTCCGTCGAGCTATTCCCTCCATTTAGAGGATATCCTCCATCGCTCTATCCACCTGTATCCAGCTCTATCCACGGGCAAGCGTTCATAAACAGGAAGTCCTAAGCCGCGCCGGCGTCCATCCAGCGCGATGTTACCGTCGCCGAATGCCATTTGTGGAAACAGCATGGGGCGCCGCTCGAGCACCGACAACTTGTCCAATGAATCTGCTCGCGGGCATGAGCCACCGCGCGCTTTATGTCTCAGTTATCCGCGACGGTTAAATTGTATCCCTGTTCGATTTCCTGCTTAGATACTGGCCGCGGAGCGGCGACGATCCGGATCGAAGGAGAGACCGTTTTCTCGTACGACGCTGTTTTCTCGTGCTTCAGCGAATCATCCCGCCGATTTATTGTACGATCCGCGGTTGCGACTTGCGTGCTCCGAGCTTTGTTCGGTAATCGCTATATTTCACATAATTGTTCAGATTATATGCAAAAGTGGAGAATTTGAGAAGAGAAGACACGATTATTGGAGCCTCGCGTCTCGTTTTTATAGTTACGAATATATCGAATATATTCGTAATATTATAATAATAATATATTTACTGTTTACCGTCCAGTTAGGGAGACATCACTGTAAACCGTGAGTTTGCATAGAAACACGCGGTCTAACGAATAACAATAACACGCGGGCGATGCGAAATAGATCACGGTTTTTGGGTCGTACCGAAAGCACCGTGTTTCGTCACCCGTGACAATTGATTTCAGGAGGTTTGGAACATCTCCGGCGGCTGCAACGACTTCTTTGGAACGATCGACGCGCGACGATTTTTGGTCGTCCGTCGAAGCACGTGGAACGAATCTTGCACGGACCTTCGTTTCGCCTAAATTCTCGCGAAGAACGGTTCGGATTGTTTCTCCGTCGATGTTCGAAGCTTCTTGCATCATTTTCAGCGAAGCCTTGCGATCATTCGCGATAAAATCACGCGCTTTTTCGATCATTTCGGGTGTCCGAAGTTGGCCTTCCTTCACGATTATCGTCTTCTACCCTCTCTCTCTGCCTTCCAAAAAACGTTTGTGCCACAGAAAAACATTTGCTCTGCTCGAACAATCGGTGCCGTACACTTACTGCATCAACGGGAATGTTTCCGATGCATTTTTACCAAGTTTTCCGTGAAATTTAATAACCGCTCTTTGTTCCATGTTAGGGAGAACTGTTATAACTTTGCTATTTATCAACCGATCGGACCCAAAATTGATACTGCCGGGAAGAGGAATGTCGCAGCTTTCAAACGCCGGTCTAAAAACATAGATGGCGCTATTAGTTACCGAGATATGGTCCGAGTCTCGAAACTTATTCGACGCACTGTGCAATGTCTCCCTAATTGACGCTCAGATTGTACGCGAAAATGGACAATTTGGAAAGAAGAGACAGGATTATTCGAGCCTTGCAGCTCGTTTTCATTGTTGCTGACAATTCGTTACTGCATAGGAGATTTCTAGAAGCTTCGGTCGAGGCACGCGTGCGTTTCTCTTATGATTCCGGTAGATCGAGTTGTTGCAGATTTTTGCGGACACGTTATTTTTATTCGCATGGATAATACGTATATATTTAAATTATGCGACGGAACAGAATAATGGGTTCGTGGAATTACACGTTGAATTGACACACGAATTATATACTGCGATGGCATTATGGAGGGTTTATTATGCGTTCGAATTTAGGGGAGAACGACGCTTGACGTTCCGATTTTGGGAAAATATAAAAATTCACGAAGAAATAGTTACTTCTCTCGTTTCTCTGAATAGTTTATTATGCGTTATATTCGTTTACTAGTTTATTATGCGTTATATTCGTTTACTAGTTTATTATGCGTTATATTAGTTTACTAGTTTATTATGCGAATATAGGGGAGACCGGCGCTTGAAGTTCCAATTTTGGGTAAACATAAAAATTGACGAAGAAATAATGCAGTTACTTTTTTCCTTTCTGTCTAATTTATTGTTGAATTTATTTTACTATAAGATTGTTATTGATTTAACATTATGCGATAAGTTTTTCATAGAAACTCGTTCTTTTTGTGATCGACACAAGCTTGAGGGGGGAGAGGGGAGTTATTAATGCTCCGGGGTAAATTATTGCTAAGAAATAAATGTTACTTTCTAATAAAATATTTCATTGTTCGATGAAATGAACAATGAAATGAAATAAACTGAAATGAAATGAAATGAAATGAAATCTTGTTTAGAAGTAACGAACAGATAAAGAAGTCGTGAATAAACAAACGGAGAACTTTGTTAACGAAAAATTAGCCTCGCATTTATTCTTTTACGATTGCTGACATTGCGAAGATTTTTATAAGATGTTTATAAGATTTTATAAGAAATAATTGAAACCATTTTTTAATTCAAACGTCCAACTAAGAGTCTACATAACCTCAAACTCGCCAATTTTTAGAGAGCAAAGCATGTCCGTCATCTTTATGCTCGGTAAGTTTAGTTTGCAAATAAAATATCGCGACAAAATTATATTATAATATACATAATTTTGCAGAATTATATAATATTATATTATAATATCTATTATAATATTATATTATATATTATATATTATATATTCTTAAAACAATTGTCACAATTATCAGATTCGTTTACATTTAAAGAACTGTTGAAAGTGCGAGTACATTGTAAATACCGCCAGTTGGTTCATTTTCATACGCATAAATTTCCATCGAACATGTGGAACGGAAAAATATAATACTATACGTCAGAAAACGTGTTTGTGATTTCAACTGAGAACAGCATCGAGTGCAAAGGGTTAATATATATTCGTGACAGGCGCTAACCGGACAAAGTGTTTAACTCGGGAACGGTGTATAATTTTCAAATGTCCGAGTAGCCGAGTACAGAAAAATCCTGCGCCATTGTTTGCACATGGCGTAGAACCACGATTTTTTCCTATATCCGAACAAAAGGATTTTGAAATGACATAGACTAACTACGACTTCCGTACTCGGTTGACGACTCTGATATGACGTTCAACGTAACCGCGTTTTTCCATCGTGAAAGCTTTTTAACCCTTTCGCTACGGCAGCTCCATCCGCCGAAGTACCATCATCGAACAGAAACTCGCTCCGGATATATGCATAGTGCGCGTGGTTTCTGTATATATATATATTATTGTAATATTCTTATTATATATATATATATATATATATATATATATATATATATATATATATATATATATATATA